TTCGGGTATGTTGCAGGGCTATCTTTCGGCTATAATTCTGCAGAGTGCAGGGGGTTGGACTAGATGAGCTGCAAGGTCCCTTCCAACTCTAACATTCTATGATTCTAAGTCTGGTTGGCACACTTTAGCTTCTACCCCTCAGTAGGGAATCCCCGGACTTCCGGTTTATGGCGACACGCTGGTGGACACATCTCCCAGACCTCCCAGGGATGTGATTTGCACACCGGCGGAAAGGAGGGGGGGCGATGGGTCACTATCCCCCCCCGAGCCTTGGCAAAAGGCTCCTAGCCATGGGGCTTTTGAGGGGTGACCTCTTCACCAGCGCGATGCTGGGGAATTGGGGCGCTCCTCCGCCCTGATGGTCCTGCCGCTGAGTGTCCGTATGGATCTAGAGCTGCTGACCGGGACAAGCGTCGGAGATCAAGCATTTTGAACGTGTGCCGAGTGAGGTTGTATGACCAACAATGAACAGTGTGTCGGGTTAAAGCGAATATGAGAATTAAAAAAAAGAAAGCTACCCCCTGGGAACGGTGAAAAAAATAAACTATTTTCATTGTTCACTCTGCCTGGTCCTCACGCCTATTATTCTGCCAAAAGGGAGGTCTAAAGGTCTTGGGAGGGTGCTCTGGGCCTTCTCAAGGGAGCCTGGAACCAGAGTGGTGGGAGCGTCAGGTGACACCCCACTTGAGACGTGACACCCGCACTCTGCCATTACTGGGCGACCTTTGGCTGGTCATGCACTCTCAGCCTAACTACCTCACAAAGAGGTTGTAAGGATCAAGGAGGGGGGGAGGGAGAACCCTCTATGTCACCCTGAACTCATTAGAGGAAGGGCAGGATAGAAATTAGGTACATGCCAGTAAAATTGTTCAGGAAGAGAAGACAAAAAGTTCACAGTTACAAGACTGTTTTGGAAATAAAAGATGGTGTCACATGCAATTAAATGCTGATTGCTAGCCGTTCTCTGGGTATGTTTCCATTACATTTGGTGCCAATGGAGCAAGTTGCCTACCTTTTGTTCTCGTGCATTAAATGATGTCACTGTCTCCTGCAACATGACTTGTGGAGTTTGCCTGTAGCAACCAACAACCCTGAAACTGGCCAGCAATTAACAGCTAGAAATTCCAGCCAGCAATGAAAGGGAGAATAAATGTTCCTTTGTGTCCACCGGTCCCCAGCAGTCAGGTTCTTCCTGCCCATAAGCTTAACAAAGGGGAACAGAAGGAGCCTCTGGGAACTGGGTCACCGGCAATTCTACCGCTGTACAAATTCAGGCAGGAAAGGAAACTCCTGAGGCTGGCGGTAAAAGTCAGTAAAATGCTGAAGGACGTGCTGATAAAACAGTCTGTTCAGTGCTTGGTGTGGTCTCTGCAAACAAGCATGAAGCTTTGAAGCAGGCTCATGGCCAGAGCTGGCTCTACTCCCTTTTGGTAAACAGAGCTGGCCCTGCCTTCCTTCTTGGAAGACCAAAAAAGTTATAACACGGCCTTGGTTAGGACTTGCAGGACATCATGATATCAAATAACTGATGCCCCAGGGGTTTTTTTTGCAAAGTTTACTTGCATGATGGGAAATTTCAGCGTTATTGGATACACCATCTCTTTGCTACACTTAAACAGCGCAACTCCATTCAATTGGGAAGAGGTTATCCAACGGGAATGAATTAACAAACCTGATTCTCGGAAAAGGAGCATGACTTAGATGCTAGATCCAGCAATAGATTTCAATTAATAAAAGCAGAGGAGGGTTTTTTTGGCTGAGTCTGTCCTTCCAGCGCAGATTCATCCCTGATGCTCCCAACTAGGAGCAGCATTTTGGGAGATACCCCTACCCTGGGGCAGCAGAAAGATGGCAGAGGTGAGAAAATCCCTTCCTGGTGGTAATCCCTTCCACTGGATCCAGCCCAATAAGTGTTCCTGCACCACAAAATTTCTCCCATTTGGTTGTGTATTATTAGGGCCGTCCACAAATCTTCTGGTCCTGGCAAACTATAGTCATAAGCAATGTTCCCTCTAAGCTGTGAAGCCTTCTGAGCAAAAATTCTACTTTGTGAGCGAGCGACTTGGCTACTGCATAAATTAGTTTGCTCTGGACCCCTCCTTCCTGAGCAAAGACAAAAATGTGTGAGCCGGAGGTTAAAAATCTGTGAGCTAGCTCACACTAACTCAGCTTAGTGGGAACACTGATAAGGTAGTTGCATTGGTCTCCAGTAGGACAGTTAGATTTGAGTCCAGTAGCATTTCAGAGACCAACAATACTTTGAGGGTATCTGGTGAAGGGAGTTTTGACTCTTGAAAGCTTTATACCCTGAAAATATTTTTGGTCTCTGTGGTGCTCCTGGATTCAAATCTAATTTGTATTCAGCATCTTCCCTGGGGTGTGCTACCTGTCCAGATGATAGTCCTCCTGAGCCCTGGGTCCCCCACAACAGGCTCACCTGTGCATCCCCCCCCTTCTGCCAGTGGCCCTGCATGGAATCCAAGGAGTTCAGTATTAATGGCCAGATTCTCAAATGGCAAATAAGAGGGCCATAAACGGAATGCTGTTGCGGTTCCTCTCCAGAATTCTTAAACTGCATTTTGGAACTATCTTGAGTTCAATAAATAGTTATTACTTATTTTGTGAGGGCTGCCATCTAATTAGAAAAATTGCCGTCAAGTAATCATATGAGTTTTGCTTGATTAAATTTGCATAAAGAGCAACAGTTCAAAGCACAAAAAAAGCAAGGTTTTGTTTTTATTAGTAGTTTTATTAAAAACATATTTGGAAAAAAACCCCAGTTGACTGATAAATCAGGGGCATCAAGATATTTTAAAAATATATTATCCTGCCATTCAAGGTGTCTTGCCAGTCAATCAAAAGAAAGCCTTGGAACATTAACAGCAATCTTCTTAAGAACCTGGGGTAAGTGCTTTTCAAAGGGGAAACTAGTCTATGGTAAGACATGTAGTGTGCTGTGAATAGAAGACGAGATTGGATTTATACCCTGCCTTTCACTACCCCAAGGAGTTTCAGAGCGGCTTACAGTCTCCTTTCCCTTCCCCTCCCCTCCCCTCCCCACAACAGACACCCTGTGAGGTAGGTGGGGCTCAGAGAGCTCTCCCAAGAACTGTCCTTGAGAGAACAGCTCTGAAAGAACTTATGACTGACCCAAGGTCACACCAGCACCTGCATGTGGAGGAAACCCGGTTCTCCCAGATTAGAGTCCCTCCTCCTAACCACTACACCAACCTGGCTATTACACTTCACCTTCACATCCACTTTTTAAAAATACCAGGGTTCTAGAAGTGTTTTGAAGGGTTCCCCCCCCCAGGCAGGGGTGGGGAGAAGCCCCCTCTGGAAAAGCAGCTATGAAAACAGTGGGTGAACATGAAGACAGCATGCGCCCTCCACCTATGGATCCTGATGCATAAATACTCTCATGAACATTTCTGCAAGAAAATGAAGTGCTTGATAAGAGATCGGAAACCAGTTTCACTAGGAAATATGTAGACCAGCAGGGTTGGCACCAGGAAGGGATTGATCCTCACCCAGCTTCCAACATATATACAGATGTGTATCTAATGCTAATGCTTCTAACACCCCTAACTTTTGGGAACAGGATAGATGTTCTGTTAGGGCACAGTAAATAATAGCTTGGACAGGATATGTCAGTTGATAAAGAATCATAGAGTTGGAAGAAGGGATCTCCAGGGTCACCTAGTCCAACCCCCTGTACAAGGCAAAAATTCACAAATACCTCCCCCTCCACCCCCCCAGTGACCCCTGTTCCACACCCAGAAGATGACAAAAATCCTCCAGGATCCCCAGCCAAATTGGCCTGGACAGGAGAAAAATTGCTTCCTGACCCCAAAGTTGCAATCAGCATTTCCCTGGGCCTGTAAGAAAGGGCCACAAGAACTAAGAACTGAGGCAGCCCTTCCTGCCTTCCCTTCTCGCAATCTGCCTGAGTTCACAGAATCCGCATGCTGCCAGGTGGCCATCTAGCCTCTGTTTGGAAACCTCCAAAGAAGGAGAGCCCACCACCTCCCGAGGAAGCCTGTTCCCCTGAGGAACCGATCTGTCAGGAAGTTCTTCCTAACGTTCAGCCGAAAACTCTTCTGATTTAATTTCAACCGGTTGGTTCTGGTCCGAACTGCTGGGGCAACAGAAAAGAACTCTGTACATGTCTATAGACACAGAAGATGCCAGTCTAAAGTGATGTTTGTAAAGTCTTCAGACTAGAAGCTGACCATAAAGAAAGCTACTATGGATTGTTGGGGTGGGGGGCTTGTTAGGTAAATAGCTATTAATGCTTTATGGCAAGAGATCCATCTATTCACCCACCCACCCACATAGGATAGCGGTGGGACCAGAAATTAAAATATGGAATTGCTAAGGCTTTTATGGCCCACTTACTTAGCTGCTATAAGCCCCATGGGATTCGGTTGCACATTTTTCTAAATCGCCCCAGCACCTCTCCGGAACCAAAGCCAAGCCGCACTCTCTCTCCCAAGCGCGCTCTGCCCCTTTAAAAGCCGTCGGGGCGGATTCTGAGACCCACAGATGAGGGCGAAGGTCAGCGTGGGCAGGGAGAGGAGAAGCGCGCCAGGCTTTGATCGCCCGGCTCCTTAGGGCTGCTCTTTAGCCTTCGGAAGCCTCCACGTGCAGGCCGGGCGTTCCCAGGTGGGTGGATCCTAAGCTGGCCGCCTGCAATACCCGGCAGATCCAGCGGGGCATTTCACGCTTTCCCCGGGAGCCGCCCCCGAACTATCCCCCTGTCGGTCTTGCTGGGCAATTGGAGCGCAGGAGCAGCCCCGCTCTTCGTCCGGACGCCGAGGCGCAGATTTCGATCTCCGCGCCAAGACTGAGAGCAGAGCCGGTGCGCCTTGGCACAGCCGCGCCCTCCGAGTGTCTTCCTGCCTTTCCCCATTGACAGTTCTGCGCCGCGGCGGCGTGGTGCTCGGTCCGGTGCAGCATCAGAAGTTCTGGGCCCGGCGCGGAAGAGGCGCCCTGCAAGGATGGCGGCGCGCACCTGCTGGGCGTTGGCGGTGGGTCTGTGGCTCCTGGCCGCGCCGGGCGCCGAGGGTGGCTGCGCCGAACTGGGCCAGTGCTGCCCGGGCAGGAGCCTGGCGTGCGTGAGTTCCGGGTGGCGACCGGACGGATCCCACGGGCACTGCTACTGCGACCAGGCCTGCCCTTACACCTTGGACTGCTGCCACGACTACCGGCAAGTCTGTCCAGGTGCGTCTCCTCCGTAGGTTAGAACTTGGGGAAGGGGGGGGGGGAGGATGCGGGCCCTTCAGCGCAGGGCAGTGAGCATGAAACGTTGCTGGCAGGCTCTGCTCAGGAGTAAACTCGATGCTAATCGGGTTTGGTTCCGAGGAAGTGCGCGTAGGGACGCCTCTCTCCTCCTGTGTTGAGTGCCGTCAAGGTTCTTCCGATTTATGGCGATCCTATGAAGTAACAGCCCTGACCTGGATAGCCCACATCACCTCATCTCGGAAGCTAAGCAAGGGTCGACCCTGACTAGGATTTGTATGGGAGATCTCCAAGGAGTACCGGCGTTGCTATGCAGGGGCAGGCAATGGCAAACCACCTCTGCTAGTCTTTTGCTTTGAAAGCCCCATTGGCTGCTATAAGTCACCTGTGACTTGAGGGGGGAGGGGGAGAGAATTAATAACTTCCAAAACGTCCTGTCCTTAACAGCCTTGCAAAGGGAGGGCTGCAGGCTCTACGATTGAGTCAATCCCATCTCATGTTGGGTTTTCCTTTTTCCCCCCCTAATGCCTTCAACAATTCCTGGCATCATTGTCTGTTCCAGTGAGCCTTCTCATAATGGGACCAAAGTGCGATGGCCTCAGTTTAGTCACTTCAGCTTCTAGACAGCTCAGGTTTGATTTGACCTAGAACCCACTTGGGTGTCTTGTTGGAAGTCTGTGCTATCCATAAAACTCTCTTCCGACATGACGTTTCAAAAGGATCTGCTTTCTTCCTGTCACCTTTCTTCACTGTCCAGCTTTCACACCCATATGTAGTAACGTGAAACAGTATGGCGTGAATTAACTTGATCTTGATCACCAGCAACGCCCCCCTACACTTAAGGATCGTCAACCTTAAAGTTGTGGAATTTCTCAGTACCTAAATGTATTTACATGGAGGTGTATTACTGAATGCATTGAGAGCTAATCCCTTAATGTTTAAGAAACAGTCGCTAAGGAAAGCGGGGAGGCTTATAAGGAAGCCCCGTCTAACTGTTTCTTATGTGGCCGTTGCTTTCTGAGTTAGACAAGTAACAGTCCACTCTTAACCAGAGTTAACACCAATTTAAGCCCATCTATCTAAACCCATCTAAGCTCAAATACTTTGGCCACCAAATGAGAAGGGAGCACTCACTGGAGAAGACCCTGATGCTGGGAAAGATTGAAGGTCAAAGAAGACGGGGACGGCAAAGGATGAGATGGTTAGACAGTGTCATAGATGCAACGAACATGAAGTTGAGCAAACTTCAGAGGACGGCGGAATCTGGCCTGGTGGGATCTGGTCCATGGGGTCGCGAAGAGTCGGACTCGACTGTGCGACTGAACAACAACAAGCCCATCTAACTCAATGGGTTTAAACTGCAGTTACTCTGGTTAGAATTTGCTCTGTGGAATCTATAAACTATGTGTGCATAAACTGGATTTATACAGCATAACTTATTTTATCCCATTTATTAACCATTCTGTGTGATGAACAGAAACAAAGTAGGCTGTTCACTCTACCAGATGCAGACCTTTCAAGGTTAACTCACAATTAACTACTAGCGTTTACATAGCCAGGTCAAACCTTCAAAAATACCTCTCATACTTTATTTCTGAAATTCCTGCAGCACTCCTGTACGGCCAGTATCGCTCTTCCTCTACTGCTGAGCAAGGGGCTTCTCTTCAGGGATGTCCTACTTGGTTCTGGATATTAAACTACCCTGGTAGAATTATGTAGCTTCCTCACATTAAATTGTGAAAATAAACCCCCGTCACTGCTTTCTCAGTTCTGAAATGTCACCCAGACGTTGTCTGTGTATTTTGGAGGTTCATGGCCCAAGAGACCCTAAAGATTTGCTCTAAAAAATTGTGAGACCCTTTTTTTTTTTATTTGTCTGATAGCAGAATTCTGCTGGGGCAGGAAGAAGAAAATTACTGTTCCATCTTTAATTGGCTTCACTTGCCACATGTTCATAAAATCCTCCAGGAGGAGACAGGTGCTCTGTAATTAATACATAATTAATTAGTAGGAAAAGGAGCAGTGTGAGAGATTTTAAGGCATCCTGTTTGGGGATAACCCAGCTTCCCCTCTTCCCAAAACACAAGCATTCATTAGCACTTCCAAAATCTAAACCTTTTATTAGTTTTAAGCCCTATTCATTGTTGTTGATTTGTATATCAAAACTATGTTCTGAAGTAGTGCCCTCTTGTGGCACTTTGGTGGAGTTGCAGTGTATGAATGAAAGACTGTGCTCCCTAAGTTTCATCAGCATGTGAAATGTGCCACCCGAGGAGATAAGACCTTAGATAAGGTCTGTTCTAACATAAAACATGGTTATAGAGCCATGCAGTTTCCACATTTGGGCCAGTCGGACCATATGTCCTTGTTTTTAGTACCAACATATATTACCCTCAGGTCACAAGCTCCTGTAAAAAGAAGGATGGTAAAAACTTGGCCTGAGGATGCTTCTCATCAGTTGCAAGATTGTTTTGAGAGGACAAACTGGGATATTTTTGATCATCAAGACCTGGAGGAACACACAGTGGCAGTCCTGGGCTATATTAAACACTGTATAGACAGTGTTACTGTGGATAAGTGCATACGGGTGTATCCTAATCAAAAACCCTGGATGACGAGAGAGGCACAGCAACTTTTGAAGGAGAGAAATATGGCCTTTAGGTCTGGAGATATGAACCTTTATAGCTCTGCCAGAGCCAACCTGAAAAGAGGTATTCGACAGGCTAAGCTGGGCTATAAACGGAGGATTGAGGATAATTTCAATACGAATGACATGCAGCAGGTGTGGCAGGGGATTCAGAATATAACTAACTATAAACCAACTCTTGCTGCCATGGATGGAGACCCTTCATTGGCGGAGGAGCTTAATCTCTTCTTTGCCCGTTTTGATGTGGAGCCGAAGGGGACAGCCATATTACAGCCATCTGTCCATGGCGGCCCCTCCCTCAGGGTAGAAGAGCATGAGGTGAGGCGAACGTTGAGGGCTGTGAATCCCAGGAAGGCGGCTGGACCCGATGGCATTACGGGA